CAATAAAATGGTAAGGTCACTCCCCATCTGATCACTTTTTATTCAGGCCCATCAATGCTCAACTCTTCCACCCTCACCTTCAGATTAGCCCTTTATTTACTCCCTCTTAGAGAGAAATAGAAATCAGCAGCCATGGAGAACTACAGATTTAGTTTAGAACTAGAAATGTAGAATAGTTTCTAATATGAAAAGGACAAAATGTAACCAATGTTCAATAGCCTCAGAGAGCTAGAAAAAGGTACCAGATCCCTTACATAAAAACAGAAAGTCATACAAAGTAACATTTACCAAAAAAAAAAGCTCTTGGAAATTAAAAATATAATCAAACGAATTAAAAAACAAAATAAATTTGAAAAATCCTCCCAGAAAGGTGAACAACAAAAACAAATAATAACAATACTAATAATAAAAGGAAATAACAAAGAAAGAGAGAGGAGAAGAAAGTTATCAAATAAACAAAGCAAGAAAATTTTCCTGAAGTTAAAGACATGACATTTTAGATTACAAGTATTCCCTCAGTACTCGGAACAATACACAAAAGCAATTCACACCAAGGCACATCACTACAAAACTTTAGAACGCTAGTGAGGAGAGAGAGAAAGATTGGTCCTACAACAACAGTAGCAGTAGCAGCAACAACAACAAAAGAAAAAAACAAAGAAAGAAAAAGAAAAAGAAAGACTCACCCGCCCCCCACCAAAGATCATGGAAATGGGTTTCTCAATAGTCGCATGTAAGTAGAAGACAGCAGAAAATCCTTTTAAATTTTTGAATGAAAAAGATTTCCAACCTAGAATTCTTCCCAAAAGATCTATTGATCAAAAATGGCAAACATACTCCACCAAAGTATAAACAGTGTATGAGGAACAGACAGAATCCAGGAGATGTGATAGGCAATTGATGGGCGGGGAAAAAAGCAAGCAATTGTTAAGAGAGGGAATTACCAACTTAAAATGAAACATAGAGGCAAGGAAATGTAGTCTGAGTACACTATGGAGTTTAGCTAGGAGTAATATTATGTGATCTCAGTCATGTAAACTCTGAATGCCTATTTGATCAATGGCTGCTGTTGCTATATTGAGGGAATGTGATCAGGGTAGGATGAGCTCTATTTGAGGGGAGGGCAACATAAAGGACTTCTGCGAAATACATCACTGAAATACAAGCACCAGGAGAGCAGGGGTTTTTGTTTTGCTCACTGAGTTCCTAGTGCCTAGAGCAATGCCTGGCACAGTAGGTCCTCAATAGATATATGTTGAATGATATATAACATTCTCCCGAGGATCATTTCTTCTGGGAAATTTGTCAAGAAGTCAGAAAGTTAAAATAAATGAAAAGAAACTTCAAAAGCTATAGAACATGGAATCTGTAGCTACAATTTTTGGATGGTTATTTTCAAAACTTAGAAGTAATCACATAAACTATTTAAACTGAGTATCAACATATTTAAGAGACCGTTTAATAGCCAGATATTCCTAGGAAACTATTCTCTGCAAATCTTTATGGTAGTCGGTTCAGTTGGAGAGACTGTGACGCTCAGGACAGTTCCAGGAAAATCAAGATGCAATTTTCTCAATTTAGAAAGCAAATTATTTTGTTGACTTTTCCTGCCATTCACCCACTAATATGCTACAACGCTGGGCTGAGGAAAACTGCCTTGTTTTGCTTTTCGAGTTGATGGACTGGTGAAGAGAAGAAGCCCTCAGTACTTCCTGTGACACTAGATTCCGGAAAGCACCCTCAGGCCAGGCACTACTTTTACTAAATAAAAAGAAGTGCATCTTTGGATTGAGCAATCCGCTCTTCCATCTAATGGATCTAAAGTAGGTCTACAGCCGGATTCAACGTGGTTATGAATTTACTGTCTGACTCTTAGGGTGATGAACGTATGAGCTGTTCATTCATTCACACCTCCTCCTTCCTGCCTTCACCGAGCATTGGTTGAGCACCTCTTATGCGCCAAAGACTGAGCAAAGACACTAATGGAGGAACAAGACTAGGCCAAATAATTCTGGGTGCTCAGAGCTAAAATTGTCAGTCTCATAGGGGCACCCGAGAAGATAACCAACTCACCAAATCGGGTATTTTTTTCCTTAAGGTCTGGTAAGCATTCATTTTTGTCAGAGAGCAGAAATCCGAGTCTGGAGGCCTTTTTTTTTTTTTTGAGTTGGAGTCTCACTCTGTCGCCCAGACTGGTGCAGTGGCTGCTCCCGGCCACCGCAGCCTCGGCCTGCTGGGCTGCGGCGATCCTTCCGCCTCAGCCTCCCAAGTAGCTGTAATTACAGGCATGCGCTACCACGCCCGGCTGATTTTTTGACTTATTGTAGAGATGAGGTCTCGCTGTCCAGGCGGGTCTTGAACCCGCAGGCTCAGGTAGTTCACTCACCTCAGCCTCCCAAAGGCGTGGGATTACAGGCTGAGCCACCTAGCCCGGCAGGCGGTCTTTATAGAAACCAGACCAGTCGACCCGAATGGAACACGTGCCGGGATGTGCGCCACCCGGCGCACGCTGGTGGATCCGAGGTTGCACGTAGCCCGGGATTGTGCCCTGCGCGTGACAGTGCGGCTGTCACAACACTTCGGAAACGTCCTAATGACACAGACCGGGTCTTTGGAGACAATGCTAGCCGCCCCCGACCCCAAAGGTTCAAAGTTCCCTCAAAGTAATAAATATGAGTTCTCGGAAGGCCAATCGGGACTCGCCTCCTGGGCCCCGCGCGCCGCCGCAGGTGACTAGGGCAAGGCTGGGGGGACCCTGGAGCCCCTGCATCTGGGGCATTCCCAACCTTCTCTCCTACTGGCCTCCTTCCCTCTCCCACTACGCTGGCCCGGGTCCCTGTGAAGAGTGGTGCTGCCTAGAGCTACCGGGCTACAAGAACTGCCAGACCTTAGAGACCCTGGTGGTGGCCGGGGAAGAGGCGGGGTGTAAGGCGAAGCCTCACGCAGGTAGCGCCTCCCAACTAAGCCTTTCCACTCGGCAGCCCCTCTCCCGGGTCGGAATCAGAGAGGAGGACCAGAAGTCTCCTTTAGGATTCGCAGGACTTTAGGAGGAAGGGCCCTCAAGCCAAGGCCGCCTGGCGTCCCTCGTTGCATCCAAAAGCGAGCCCAACAATCTAGAAATACCCCTAGAGCAGCCGTTCCTGGTGTCGGATTACAGAGGTCCTGGAGTCCTCCTGTCTTATTTCTCGCCCACCGCAACTCAAGCCACGTTCTAGTGCCCAGCTGGCTGCCTTCCCCGGGAAAGGGTCCTCCTGCCTCTGTGCATTCTGAGCAACGGTGTTGCAGAACTGGCGAGAGTCGCCTGAGTCGGCGATGGGGATTCCTTGGCGGGTGGTTGTGGTGGGGTGTCACTGGAGTTTTGACTGCTTGGGTGCTGGACGTCAACCTGTCCTCACCTTACTCACTGGGTCCTTCCACATAAAAATGACCCGGAGGGCCTAAGCAGACATCCTCTGAGCTCTTTTCTGACCCGCAGAAATAGGGAGCATCAGCCACCAGGATTCCGCGAACCTCTGACTTCGCCTCCTTCCTCGCGCTGCTCCGGGCGAGGCTTCCCGAACGCGTTCCGTGAGCCCAGGGGCGCCGGCGGGCGCATTTGGTGGCGCAACCGCCCAGCGGTGCGGGGAGAGCATGAGTCCATGCGGAGTGGGGATTGGCGCCCCTTTGCTTTCTCTCCACCGCCCCTACCCGTAGCTCACTCCAAGCCCCAGCCCCTTCTGCCCGAGCTGCGATTTTTTCGAAGGAGAGGCTCGGTTTTCGTGCAGGAATGTGCGTGTGTCGGTATGTGTGTTTGGGGGACAGTGTACCTCTGTGCTATAAGACACGCCTGTTTTGGAACGCAGAAACACGCAGGGTCGCTTTCGGGTCTAGGCGTGGTTGTTTGGGTCGATGCGCGCGCCCTAGCTGAGGGCGCGTGCATTCCAGCGAGGCTGCGGAATGTCCGAGTGAATGCGGAAGGCAGAGCGCGCGGTCCAGGTATGCGAGTGGGGACGCGCGCACCTGCCGGTCTGTAGCCGCCGGTGGAGGGTGTGTGAGAGTTCGCAGCATCCCCCACCCCCACCCTGGGGTGCAGCATCCGTTCCCCTCCGCCGGCTGGCCCTGGACCCTGGCGCGCTCGGCTCTCCGGCGTTGCAGGGAAGGGAGGCTGGGGTATGGGGCCGAAGGAACAGAGACCCGGGCACAGGTTGTCCTGGCGGGCAGCGTGGCAAGCAGAGACCAGAGGCGCAGGGCAGCTGCGTAAACCCACCTCAGCTGGAAAGTGGAGGGTTCTGGCTTGGGGTGCGGGATTCTGGAACGCAGTCGAGGATTCGGGGATCCGGGAATGGGGGCGGGGGTGGATGCTGAGCCCCTTTGCAGGCAGTGCCAGTTTGGCCTCATCCTCAATTTTCTCTTCCGCTCCTACCCATCCCAGAGGAGTGAGGCGGAGGAGAGTTAGCTGCCAAACTGGCACCAAAATAACCCTCTTTGGGGGCCCAGGGCTCCAGGGCGCGAGGGGTCAGGGAATGTCCGCAGAAGCACCCCAGATGGTCCAAAGGGATCAGTGTTGGAGACCTCTCCCCTGCCACTCCTTCTTTCCTGTCATGGGCTATTTCAGCTGAGGTCCCTTTGGAACCCTACTGCTCAACCTCTCTGGGGGTCCCGGTGGCTGGGCTCGGGTCCCTTACTGGCGTGGCGAGAGGAGGTGTGAGGCAGGAGTTAGGAAGCAAGGAGGGCGGAGCAGCCCTGGCCCCTCAAGTAGTTGACACCAAACTCCCCTCGACTTGCTCCCACTTTCGGGACGTCGAAGTCTCTCCGCCCCCTCCCAGGCTCTCCACCTCCCCAGACAATGACCTCAATGCAAATGGCAGCGGGGGACGGCCCCCTCCGGAGCGCCGCGGTGCCGGCAGCGCGATCCATGACGCAATCGGAGCTCGCTCGGCGCTCTGATTGGCCAGTCCTTGCCACTTTGGATTGGCCTCGCGAGCGGGTGGCGGCCCTCCTCCTGCTGTCGCTGGAATAAGAGCCGGGGGCTCGGTTGGGAAGGCGCCCACAGCAGGCGTCGTGTTCTTCCCGTGGACCAACCGCTCGCGCTGCCCCGACTCTCGCATCACCAGGTGAGGAGCTTGATTCCGTTACTCTTAATAACCTGCCTCTCCCGTTAGTTCATCCAGCCTGCTCCATCTGCCTGCCTGTCTCGCCTCTCCACCGCCATCCGGTCTTACCGCTGAGAGTCCGAGGGCTCTTCTTGACTCTAGTGAAGGCGGGCGGTTAGGGCTGTTCAGGCGTTTTCTCCTAATGAGCACGGTGGAGCCCCAAGCACTCCCAGGGCTCAGTATGGGCTCTGGAGGCGCCGCGAGTCGAGGGCGCGGGTCTGCGGCCCCGGTGTGGGTGCCTGTCTGCGTGCAGGATCCTATCCGAGTTTGGTCCGGGAGTGCCCTGCGCCGCCCTTGTCCTCCTGAACCCTTTTCGGTTCCCGGGAAGATGGAGCCCTGAGTTTTCCTCCAAGGCGCCCCCAGCCACGCTCATTCCTGGAACGTGGGTCCGAACGTGGGGCAGTGCTGTGAGCCGATCGGAGCAGCGGGTTCACCTCGGGGTGCTGGTACCCAGCATCTGCTGCTAAATGAAGCTCTAACAGGGCTCTGGTTGTGCGGTCGCGTCCTGAGACACCTGTTAACCGGCACGTTAAAAACTTCCTCAAACCGAAGACAGAGATTAGCGCTCTTTTCCAATCCACCCGCTTCCCCACTTTCCCTCCCGTATGTTGGCGCAAAGTCCCGCGGAGCAGACGGCGAGAAGGCGCAATGCAGGGGAGAGGGGACTGGGGAGTGGGGAGGAGGGATGAGGGTGGGAGGAGAGGGGAAGGTCTACAGAAGGATGGCTTCGCCTCAGGCTCAGGACAAAGGTTTGAGTTTGTGTGCATGGGCGCATGTGGTGTCTCCCTGGTCTTCCAAAGAACAGAATCAAAATCCATCCCTCCTCTTCCCCCAACCCCCCCCCC